AAAGATGACAGTGCCCTTTCCATTCCACCCTGGTTCCAAGTTCCCCTACAACTTTTGCACTTGGCTCTCCCATCACTGAGGCTAAGGCTTGATGCATTCATCCGGTAGAATGGCAAAGGAAGAATCAGTTAGTCCTGCTCAGAGGTAACTAGCAGAAATTTTTGCCTTTTCTGCCCAACTGGATGGTTATGAAAACACAGCAATAGATGTGAATGATAGAAAGAGACTCCCAGGGGTATCTGGTCAGCCCCAGTGACTTCGGGTAAGTATTTCAGGCACAAAACCTCTGGGTGTCACTCTCATCTTCAGTGATGCCCAAGCCTCTCTGCACTGTCCCCAGTATCCCACTCCACTCAGCTCACTTTAGGAAGAGCCCTGGTCATGTCCAAAAAAATAAATAAATAAATAAGAGGAATCCACAGGATACAAAATAGAATCAGTTTGGCCAGAGGCAAAACTTTCAGTGGGAGACAGAAAAAAGGTTATCTTCCAAGGTGTGACTCTTTTCTTTCTTTCTGTCACTACTGTGGTAAAACAGAGACCTGGGAATGCCTTGTGTTTTGGGACAGCTTTGTTCCAAGAAATATGAGTGGGAACAAGGGGGTCATGGAGAAGCAAAGAGAGAGAAACAAGGGAGGCTTGGCAGATAAACGGAAAACTGAAGTCTCTAATATAGTTGGTCCCAGTCCAGTCCACCAGAGAGAGACTGAGGCTGATGTCTTTGCTATCACATGGAGCGTGTGTTCCTGGAAAACCCTCTCTGCATACATCCCTCCTGAGGCTAGTATAGGCAGTAATTGCCTGGATCAAAATTCAGGGATTTGGCATCCTAGTCCTGCCCATCAATCTTCCCCTCTCACGGCTACTAACTCAGTCCTTAACTTCTAAATTAGGAAAACATGCTGGAGCAAACTCCTGGCAAATAATTCTAGTATTAAGTAGAGTTAGGGAGGAAATAGTTTTAAGAGCACGAAGTCTAGCATGGAAGACTTCATTCAGGCTCATATTTGAGAGAAGATGACAATAAAAGAAAATTTAAATTCTTCCATGCTGGATGCCTGCCCAAGGTTAGACCTCTGGCAGCTTTATAAACATCCCCGTTGGCCATCAGAGTGCTGCCGAAGGGTTCACTGGCTGTCACAGACCCGTTATGGTTCCAGCCAACTCCTTCTGCAGATGGGAGCTGTTTAGAAAACTTGCTGGAACAGTCAACAGTGGCTACCATTTCACCAAAGAGACAGAAATCCATGCGCTTTGTGAACTCTGCTTGTCTCTCATCAGTAAAGTCAATGTATAGAGAGCAATAGTATATACATATTTTTAATATCTTATGAAATAGTTAGTTGGTACAATAAACAGAGTCTTAAAATATGAGGCAAATGGCCACATCTTTATACCCACAGGCAAATCTCAGCATTTTCCAGAGCTCCCTGCTAAAGGAATTCTTCAAGATCTCTATAACCAATGTATATAATAAGGAGAGTAAGTTATTCAGCTTAATTATTCTCAAGGAAACCAAAATAAAATACTTCAAATCTCGTGCTGCTGGCAAGCTCCCAGTGGGGGTGACACAATTCCTGGCTACTCATTAATGAGTGTTGTCCTTTACACAAAGCCAAAGCTTCTCACTCAGATTTTCCTCTATTAGAGCTGAGTTTGGACACAGTTTCAGCCTCTCTCAAATATTCTCTGATTTTCTGGTCAACATATATGAGTGTGGGTGGAGGTTCCATCTGTGAAGATGGAGTCAAGCCTCTGTTTCATTATTCCCTAGAGATATTTTCTTTTTCTGGGTCCTCCATGCTTGTTAATGGAATTAACCAGTAAAATATGTCCCTACTAACTATTTGGTAGTTCTGAGGATAGTTAGGGGGAAAGGTTACCTGTCTATGCCCTTTAAGTGTGTCCTTCCTATTACTTCAAAGGACTATGGGAAAAGAGGAGAGGAGAGGAGAGACACTAACAATTATTGACCATCTACTACATGACAAGTTTACCCATGAACATTATCTTACTTATCCCATCCACCAAGTCTGCGAGCTCTCATTACGACTATAATTTTACCAAGGAAGAAACTGAGGTTAAACAGGTTAAATGCCCATGTCATATGACTCTAAAGAAATGAAGCCAGAGTGAAGCCCAGGTCTTCTCGGCTCTAGGTTCATGTTCTTTCCTCTAGAGAGCATTACATCTGAGTAACTGCCACTTTCATTCTGCAGGAAAGGGCCTCAGAAAGGAGAAATAAAAGGCTGTGCTCATTGTATGTGAAATAGGTGGTACTGAATCTAATCTATTAGTAAGAACCGTCTCCATAAGGAGAGTGGAATAAATACGAGTTTTACAGTTAGAAACTCAGCCCTCATGACTTATCTGTATGATTCAAGCAATTACTTCACTCTTCTAAGCTTCATTTTCTTTTTCTTAGCTAGGAAATGGTCAGTCTAAATACAGGATTGTTATGATAATCAGAAATAATCCAAATCAGGAGATGGCAAACAACATCAGCCCACGTGCTATGATCTATCTAATTACCTGAAGGACTACGTTGAGAAGTCCTGTGAGATAAATTTCGTAAAGGATGTTGTGATCCATGAGCGACTTCAGGGACACAGTGGGGAGATTTGTGATGTGAGGGTCACTCTCGACAGGTGTAACACATCACACTGCGCTTTGAATATAAGGAATGAATAAAGTCTGCCCTCCTGCCACAGGTCTTTCAGAGTCTTATAATGTGTAACACAGAACTCTAACTTCAGGAACAGGCTCAAGAGTTCTGCAGGGCGGAGGAGGAGATAAAAAATAACATCTCACCTCCACAGCGTCTAGAACACGGGGCTCTTCATGGTTTATTTATCTTGTTGGGACTATGTTGGTCCTCCACCCATGCCCTCCTTCCAACCACGACCCCAAATGGCTTCCAAGTGTCCCAGCCCAGGTCTGGAAGCCACCCCAGAGAGCCACAAGTGAGTTGCTTACCACTAGAGGCAAACACACGCAGAACCCAGAGACAGTGGAGGAGGTTCTGGCTGTGGGACAGGTTTTTCCTGGCCAGAATCAATGTCACATCAAGTGCTTCCAATTCCAGTGCCTTCTGTCCAAACTTTTTATCTGTGAACACAAATCAGTCCATCTTAGTTGTGTTTCACTTTAATTCTGAAGGTTGTATGATGTGCGGGGGAGAGGAAGGCAAAGGTGATGGAGGGCAGAGGATAATTATAGTCAATGAGACTTTTCAGATCTACTAGAAAGTGCTACTAAGAATGTTCTCATTGGAACCAGATGGCTGAGAAGAGCTAATTCAGGGTACACATATGGTCCACTATTCTGTAAGTAATATTTACATGAAGCCTTGTGGCTTGTATGACTTGCATCCCCCATATGTAAGGATGTTTCTGGTCGTCCTCAAACATGAGCTACAGTTTAGTTGGGTATAATTTTTTCCCTTTAAGACAGTTCTAGACTTACAACACTTAAGTTACATAACATTCAAATACAACGTGTGGACTTCAACTGGATCCTTCTCTGAATATATTTACAAAAGACACGATGGGAAAATTTGACTATATGTTATGCATGCATTTGTGTGTGTGTGTGTTTTGTTTGTTTTTTAGGACTGAATTTTTTTTTTGAGTTATAGTCAGTTTACAATGTTGCATCAATTTCCAGTGTAAAGCACAATTTTTCAGTTATATATGAACACGCTTATGTTCTTTGTCACATTCTATGCATGCATTGTTAATTTTGTTAGATTTGTAATCATGGCATTGTGATTACATAGAAAAATGTCTCTTTTCACAGGAATGCACTCAGAAGTATTTAGGAGCAAAATGCTACCTGTAATTTTCCTTAGACTATTTCAAATAAAAATAAATAGGTGAAGGAAATGTAGTAAAATGTTAGTAATGGTTAAATCTAAGCGATAGGTATATAAGAGGTCATCTTTCTATATGTAGAGAACTTTCTAGTAAAAAGTGAAAACATAATTTAAGAAAATAAAATTTTCTCTCTAAATATCTCTAAATTATTGATCCAAATAACCTGATATTCAGTGTTGTAGGTAAGTCATTATTATTTTAATAATTAGTAAATAAGCATAAAAAATAAAGAGAAAGTACCTCTTATTCTATGTTCCTGGCTCCCACTAGGATAACAGGTGACTATGCCACCTGTCCCATTTGTTTGTGTCCTTTCCAAAGCACAATGCCCGAATCGTTATGTTTGTGTTTGCAGGAATACAACCGCTGTCAGATTCATCACAGGTGAAAATGACTAAATCAGAGACAATGCCCTAAACCTGGTTTGCTAATGTTTGCCTCTGGGCCGAAGGACACCAGCAAAGAGACTGTGACTAACTCACATGACCCATTCCCTTTATCAGAAAAAAAAAAAAAAAGAGAGAGGTATCTATCTGGCTCCACTCATGAACACCCAGTCTCTGTGTTCTCTTCAGGTCAGCCCCTGACAGCTTGAACGCCAACATCAAGAATGACAATCTTTGATGGCAGAAGCTGCAGCGACATAATTATGTCAACAGTAATATCAAGGCCCATGGCTTGGAAATCACTGCGCTTGTACATTACTCACCTCTCTTCTGTGAAACCTTGTGTGCCAGGCCACTGGCCCCACTGCTCAGCGGGTAACATACAACCTTGCTGTATCCTCGCAGCAACTCGAGAATTAAGTGCTGAGACCTGCATTTTGTAGCTGAGAGCCCAGTGGTAACCTGCCCAAGGTCACACTGCTACTAAGTGTCAGAGCCAGGCCTGAAACCCAGACCTGACCTCCCAGCTTGTGCCACTAACAACCGGGATGTACTTCATGTCTCTCGCGTCTTTTCCTGGAGTTCACACAGCCCACTCTTTGCTTTGCTGACTTCTTCCCATCCTTCAAGTTTGGGCTCAAATGTCACCTCTCTCTGACCACATCATCTTAGAGGAACACCACCCTTTCTTTTCCTTCTAGCTGTCATCTAGTTACTTATCACTGTTTGCTATCACCTAGTTAATTGTCTACTTCCTGCCCTTCCCCTCTTGCATGTAAGTTCCATAAGACCAGGCCCACTTACCTGTCCTGGTCACCCTGATGTTCCCAGGGCCTAGAACAGCACACAACCCTGGGAGACGTGTGGTAAATATCTGTTGAACATTCAATGAATGGATTCTATCGGTTTTGTCTGGAAAGTGCTGACTGATGCCTGGGTTTCAGTTACTGTTTGTGAATGCTGAATGGACTCAAAGCAGAGACCCCAACATTGCGAGGAAAGAGGCCCCCAGAGCCCTCTGCCCTTGGTTGCTGCTGCCTGCGCTGAATAGCAAGGATCCACCTTTTGGAGGACCTGAGCTTCTTGACTGTGACCTCTGTAAGACTGCACACAATTGGGACTTAACTGTTATGACTACTTTGCAATGTTTACAAGCATCCTGAGTGCCCAGACTTTTTCAACTGTGCTCCAAGAAATTCTAGTGTTTCAGGGAGGTGTTTCAGGACCTTCCATGACGAAAGAGAAATGGGTACGGAGCTTAAGTGGAAAGAAGTCCCCCCAGTCCCTTATATGCCTCAGGCCCCCCGTAGTCCACGCCTGCTCTGGGTCCTGCCCTGAGCACCTCGGTAACTTGGGTTTCTGGCATCTACGTACCTCTCCTTGGAGCTGGTCCTGTCATCACCACCAAGGTGTCTAGACCTCCCCGCTGCTTCTTCCCTGTACTTCCCAAATTGCTCTCATGCTAACAACCCCCTTTTCAGTCATCTTCAGGTCTAGGGGCTTGGGTACCTCGCAGGCCAACTTTGGCCAGCAGCCGGAAGAGGGGCAGGAGGATGTCATAGTCGGGAGAAGCCGTCCTCGCTGTGTCCACCAGGGTCTGCAGGAGGGCTTCGCTGCCTCCCTTGCTGATCATGTAGCGAATCCTCCGGTCTGTGCCTGAGAGGGGAAGCAGGGGAGCGATAAGCCTCAAATAACCACCCTCGTTTCCTTGGAGCAGGAAGGAGCCCTCACACCTAGAAACAGAGCAGGGATTGGCTCATTTCACCCCAGAAACCAAAATTGTGGAGCTCTTAAAGCAACTTGTGTAAAGCTGTGCTCTTAAACAGACTCACAGACATAGAGAACAAACTTATGGTTACCAAGGTTTAAAGGGGATGGGAAGGGATAAATTGGGAATTTGAAATTTGCACCTCTTGGGGAGTGATAGAAATGTTACCCATCTTGATTGTGGTAATGGTTTCATTGGTGTATACATCTATCAAAACTCATCAAATTGTACATCTGAAATATGTGTAGTTTACTGTACAGGAATCAGACCACAATAAAGGTGCTAAAAAAATAAAATAAAAGTTGTGCTCTTAGGTAAGGGTCCAAGGTTGGAGGAGAAGGCATGAAATGGAGAATAATGGAATGTTTAAGAACTTTCAGCAGCTGTAATAAACAGAGCCTAGGATTTGCTTTCCTGAGAACCTGTTGGGTCTCCATGTATGTGTGTACTTGCGTGTGCATGTACAGAAATATGCATACAGGCTTACATGTAATCATATACCCAGCTGAAGAGGGCGTACCAGTACCCC